ATTGTAGTGTTAGTTTCTTGTTCAAAATCAGTTGCTAGACAATTAAAACAGTTCTTTATGCAGAACTGAAAAGGTTTTTTGGATAATAAGTAAACAGTCTTCAAGAAAAATAAAAGTCCAGTTGCCTTTTGAAAAACACTTTTTCAAAACAACCATGACCTGGATAACTGAGAATCTCTAGAGACATAATAAAAACAACTTAAATGATTTTAAATGTGCTTTTTAAAAAGTGTAGAAAATGAATGACTTTTGTGTTATATACTGGCACATTCAGTCCTTGTTGTCTTGATGAGTTATCCTCGAATGCATATGATATTCCAGAAGCTAGCAACAAAATTATTTATGAAGGTTTGAAGGCATAGGATGTTAACAAATCACTAGAAGATTTACTAGCTCTTATATTTTGTGTGAAATTAAAATGGAGGCTTCCTCCGAACCATCTGTTGAGTTTTGCTCTTATAAGTCATGTTAATGTAATGCAATCCTTTACATGCTTACTCAAAGTAATTTGCCCTGAGTTGAATGAGAATACATACATACAAACAAACAAACAAACAAACAAACAAACAAACAAACATACCATTAATAAAATTAAGGGTACATTCTAATAAAAGTAAAGCTATGCAGAATCAGGAGCAAGGTATCTATTGCCTGATCAGAATACATACTTAATTACATATGGAATGCCAATTTGTCTGAGAGAGTGAACTTAAAATATAATTGAAAGTAAAGCCAAAGACAAGTGTTTGTTAAGCTTTATTTCAAAGAAAAAATAGTAAGCAATAACAAAATCAAAACTTCATTAATCCTTTTTGAATCAGGAAATATTGATCCCATACATCAATATTACAAATTGCTCCTTCAATGTAGAACTTCATTGATTTGAAAACATTATGCCTTGAACTACAAACAGATTACTTAAGAATTCAGAATAATATAAAGTTTAGTTTTTTCCTTTTACTTTGTTTTGGTAATATAAAATACAGCACTTTTTTTAAAAAAAATACTGTCCATTGATTTAACAAGGCATCTGCTTCAATCAACTTGTATTTAACAATATAGTAGGCAATGGGATTCTAATTGCATCTACTTAAAATTAATTTTTATTGGCTTAAATAAAAGTTAATTCCAAGGAAATATGCTTTGAGTTGGAGCTTTAAAGACATTACAGACCTAGATTATTGTACTATGAAACTGCAGTTCCTTGGATTATAGAAATCTGTCCAAATAGCCAAACAACTACAAAAATACCTTGATTTTAAGATTGTTATAACATTGTTATATGCAATTATATTTTAATTGATTCTGAAGATAATGATTTCAATTTAAGTTAAATATTTATTGCATAATGATTTGAAATAAGTACTTGGACCTCATGTGAATGCTTCTGGATGCATCTGAATAAAAGATGTGATTGCTTTATGAGTCAGACTGTAAAGCAGCAGCATTTTTTTCAGGTTCATGAAAAAGCTTGAAAAAATATGTTGTTTTTAACAAATAGCAGAGAGATGCTAGGCTTGTACTCATGAAAGGTCCAAACACTTCTTCTGGATCGTATTTGAAACATGTATAATCTTAAGCAGATATAATAAATCATAGTGTAGCTTTTTTTAAAAAAAACTTATTTGAGCAAAATATGTCACCCATATAATGTATTAAGAGTATAGTAGATACCAAAACAAAACATTTCAGCTTGCAGCATAATGTACCAAGTAAGACTTTAACAAGAGGTAGGGTGAAGTTCAAAGTAAGTATATATAATAAAAATATTCTCAGTTGAATGTTTGATACAGGGAACTGAATAAAAACAAAAAACAAGCAGCAAATGTGCTTAGCATTATATTCTCTCTGGAATCTGTTAAAATGAATTATTTATGTGAACATGCTGGAAAAAAAAGACAAAACTGTAGCAGATGATCAACTTTAGGGCTGTTGTAGAATAGAATTTCAGGAAACTGGATCCAAGTCAGAAATTCAATTACTTAATGAAAATGATCTTGTTTCACTGTTTGGCTTCTGTTGACCCATTAGGAGTGCCCTTATCATGTGAATCTTTTGATCATTTGGTAGACTGTTGCAGTACTTACAGAAGTGAAAAATCTGCCATTGATTAATGCTATTATATTGTGGGATTTTAATTTCCAAAGAAATATTAATAATGGAAATATGTAGTTCCAGAATGTATATTTTATAAACCAGTACAATCAGAAATATGTCAATAGGCCAAACCTCTAAAATTATATATCTGTATGTTAAACTTATTAAATGTTTCCAATATATATCACCTCTAAAAAGATTTTTAAAATCCTCTGTTGATTTTAACATGTTTTTTTTTAGAGACAAATGGGAGGAAAATGCTAATAATAGTAATTTTATAGTCACTAAAATTTAGGTCACTGATATTTAATTTGCATTGTTGCAACATATCACAGCTTTGATTAGTTTGCACGTATAATAGTAATTTTCATGACCTGGACGAATCACTTAAAAAAAAATCTTATCCCCATTCTATCCCTCTTACTGTATCATGCTCTTTTCAATATCTTAAATGTCATTGCAATGTCATATCACACAACACAGTATAATACAAACATTTTGTGGAATATAAATTTTAGTTAAGACACCACAAAAATTTCTCTATTCCTAAAACCTAGTCTTAATGACAGATTACAATTCTCAGAATCCTGGGTCACAATCATCTCCAGGTTGGGGCAGAAATCTAATACTGTAAATATATCAGGGAGGTACAGCTAGTACGCCAGCTATGTCAAACCTATGCCCTAAAAGTCACAGCCATGCAGCCTAAGTCTGGGGGCATCCCCAAATCCCCTTTCCTCAGGTTTCCACCAAAGTATAATTTGGGCAAAAAGGGAAATTATTAAATATATGTCTATTTTTTATATGAAAATTATTTTTACTTTAATTTGAATCAATTTTTTGTTCTGCTCTCACACAATTTGGACAATGCAGTTCTCAGCACACTGCAGAAATCCCATTGCTGCACTTCCCTCCCAACTGCTCCCCCCTCCAAAAAAAAACAAAGGAAAAGATCTTTGTCTTGCCATAGACAATGAAGCATTCTCTAATTGAACAAGCATTAACATTTGTATCTCAGTGGCATTAATTCAAGGGTGTAAAATGCAGTGTTTTTTAAATGCATGCCACCACTAGCTTAGCTAGTGATAAATCAAACCTAAGGGCCTGGCACAGACAGATATGGACAATATTATATCCAGGATCTTTCTTTATAATTTTATTTGGCATCTGCCTCAGTGTCAGTGGCTGAAAGAAAGAAAGAGGGGGAGAGAGAGGGAGAAAGCAGATGATGTCATTTGCTTCAGTGCTAGCCACTGAAAAAGAATGACAACCAAACACGATTTATGAAAAAAAAAAGCCTGGTCTTAACCTATCTAATTAAAGCGATTTTTCACTGCGAGGTTTATAGTTACTGTTTCGAGCCAGAGTTAGAAAGGGCTTAAGAGGACAAAAAGGGGGAGGAGGGCGTCTCTAAGAGAACGGTACTTTGCTTACAACAAAGGCTTGAAAGTCAGGACTGGGTCGGTTTCAACCACACAATCTGGCACTCTTGTCAAAAGACAACACAGAAAACCTATTTGTTGCTCCTTCGCTCCCCTACAGGGAATTGTTGGTCCCCCCACCCAAGGCAGAGAAGCAACAGCGCCCGGGATGGCTCCCATTGAATCCTCTGTATTTATATGCCTGTCTGTCTGCCCACCGTCTTGCAGAATCCCACCGGTGCCAGAAACTCGAGGGAAACCCGCACGGGAGGCGCCAAGAGGCGGCGAGAATCGTCCGACAGGATTTGCCCAGGATTTGAGCAGTTCGCCGCGGCCCCGAGCCAAGCCGGTCCCACTCCAGCCGAACGGTGGAAGCGGAGCGCCGCTCGGCATGTTTCGGAAAAAGCGTAAATGTGCGCGAGGCGAGGCTCTGGTGGCGGCGCGCTCGCGCGGTCGGGGAAACCCTCCCTCCCCCAGCCGAGCAGGCTGCCGGCTCCCCCGCCCCGCCCTCTCGCTGCACCGCCAGGGCTTCCCCGCGCCAATGCACAGCCTGGCGGGAGTTACTGCGGCTCGCCCGGCTCCCGCCCTAGCTGGTGGCATCCGGGCCGCCGCTGCTTTCTAATAAAGGTCGCTCGCACAAAACCCCTCGCCTTCTCCTGGGAAGGGCGGGCTGGCTAGCCGGGAAGGGCTGAATAAGCCTCCCTCCTCCTTCCCTCCCTCCTCTCCCCCGCAGCCGAAAAGAGCGTTTTCCCGTTTCGTCGCTTGGGAGGGAGGAGGAGGAGCGCGAGCACCGCCTTTCGCGCTGGCATTCCGGGATTTCCCTTTGTTTAGAGGCTGGGAATCCTCCTTCCTCAGCGGTCTTTCCCTGCCGCAGTCCTCAGGGCTCTCCCTCCGGATTGGTCTTCTAGTTTACAACATGCATAGGCTGGAACAAGCGGTTTGAGAACGGGCTTTACTGTCTCCTGCTTTTTCACGCTTGGGCATCCCTGGGCTTTCCCAGCAAAATTGCAGAGCAGAAGCTCTGAAAACTGCCAGCCGAAGAGCCAAACGCCACGCACGTCCTTTTGTTTCCTCTGAGGGTAAACCCCTCCCATCACAACACAGGGAAGACCCATCCTTTCCCGCTCCCCAGACGGATTGCCCTTTCGCTTCCTCGCCCAACATGGGACCCCGATTTGGGAGCAATTTACAAACATTGTGGGATCCTTCCTTGAAAGCCTCCGCAAAGGATTTTATACGGCATATAAATCCCTGCAGATCTCCCTCTTTTGTCTTCACTCCCTACTCCCCCTCGCAACCCCCCCCCCAATATTTAAGTTTTTTCCCGGGTGGGGGGAGAAAGAGCACATATGGGGCAGCCCACCACCCTGTTGCGGGAGGTAGGATATCATAGCGAAATAAATATAATAAACACCAAGCTATCATTTAAGGGCTGAAACGGCAGCTCAACAGGTTCTGGAGGAATCCAGATAGAGAGGAGGAGAGGAATCACCCTTACCTGTCTGAGCAGTTCTTGCATCAACAGCGGATGGTACTGGTGATAGCTCCCCTCCTCCCTCCCGGACTGTCATTGGGGTGGGGGGGGTGTCTGGTGGTGGCAAGAAGAATCCCCCCGGCAGGGAGAAATTCCCCCCTCGAGGGGGCAAGCGAAGGGGGGAGAAGGAGAGAAGCAGCCCCCCCTCCCTTGAGAGCTGTCACTAGCAACAGCAACAGCAAACGCCGCTCCTGGGATTTTCTTGGCTCCCCTCCCCGCGCGGTGTTCTTCTCACGCTGCAGTTTTTTCGCCCCTTCCAGGTGACGTGATGCCCGTTGTTTTGGTTCGCCCGACCAATCGGACTCGTTGCCTGGATTCTACGGGAGCCGGGATGGGCCCGTCGTGGCGGCAACAGGACTCCCCTCTGCCGACCATAACGCATTGCGCAGGGTGCACCGCCGCCTGGTCTTCCTGCAGCTTTAACAGCTCTGACATGGAAACCCCATTGCAGTTCCAGCCGAGCTTCTGCTCAGAGCAGCAGCAGCAGCAGCAGCAGCAGCACCCACACCCGCATTACCACCAGCACCACCAGCAGCAGCACCACCACCAGCAGCAGCACAGCGAAGAGAGGCAGCCAAAGCAGCAGTCCAGCCCGTGCTTCCAGTGCAACAGCTGCGTTTATTACGGGGCTGCGGCTGCCGCGGGCGATAACCTGCCGCTGCTTCTCCGCACTTCGTCGCCTCTGTCGGTCGCCTTCCGGACTCGCTCCTCGCCTCTCTCGTGCTCCGCAGCTTCTTCCCGCCAGGGCAGCCAGCTCAACGTGAGCGAGCTGACCCCTTCCAGCCATGCCAGTTCGTTCAGGCAGCCACACCACTATTCCCAGCCCCACCAGCACCACCACTCCCACTCCCACCCGTGCCATAGTGTGCACCAGCAGCAGCCGCCGCCCCAGCCGGCGGGCAGCCCCAACAGCAGCACCGGCAGCGACAGTCACCACTACCAACTTCAGCAGCAGCGCCGCGAGAGCAACCCTTTCACGGAAATAGCCATGAGCAGCTGCAGGTACAACGGCGGCGTCATGCGTCCTCTCAGCAACCTGAGCTCGTCCCGTCGGAACCTCCACGAACTGGACTCCGAAGCTCAGCCGCTGCAGCCCCAGCCGCCGCCGCCGCACTCCAGCCCCACCGCCTCAGCTGCCGCCGCCGGCCCCGAGATCGTGGTGTCCAAGCCCGAGCACAACAACTCCAACAACTTAGCGCTCTACGGATCCGGCGGCAGCGGCAACGGCAACGGCAGCCAGACCAACAGCGGCGGCAAAACCAGCAAGAAGAAGAACCAGAACATCGGCTACAAGTTGGGACATCGCCGCGCGCTCTTTGAGAAGCGGAAGCGGCTGAGCGACTATGCGCTGATCTTCGGCATGTTCGGGATCGTAGTGATGGTGATCGAAACCGAACTGTCTTGGGGCGCTTACACCAAGGTAGAGAGACTCTCCGCCCCCCACGATCAACCGCCTTGTACCTTCTCGCCTTTCGTGTGTTGTATTTCTTGTATCGTATTTCTAAAAGCATCTTTCCCCCCTTCCTTTCCCTTCTTCTCCTCTCCCTTCCTTTCCCTTCCTTCCTTTCCTTTTCCTTCCTTTCCCTTCCCTTTTCTTTGTTTTGCCGCTTTTCGCATTATCCGTAGCTATTTTATTCCTTCTCCTTCACTTGCTTTAAGTATTTCACCATCCTTTAACACCCCCCCCCTTCAGCTTCAGACTTACATCCTGAATGCTTGACTGAGCCCCGTGAAGATTGTTGACTATTAACAACTCCTTTCCCAGGTGTAGGCTTATGGGACCAGAAGCCTAATCACAGATTCTTAGTAACTATGGCTGTAAGAGTGATGTTCCTGAGTCTGCATTCTAGGGAATCTGGAATGGGGAGCTTTCCAGCATAAGGAGCTGTCAATGATAGTGCTTCAGTTGTCAACTTTTCCTTATGGAAATCATCTTCAGGGCAACTTTTCTGGCTTGCTTTGATGAGTGTCTGTTTTAGGTTTTCTTCCCCCTGCAGATAGGTAAAATGCCAATTCAGGCATGCTTTTTTTTTTTTTTTTTGAGCAAATAGTGTGATGCATTACATTGTTCAAAGAGTAACTCGGGAACTTACTGATTTGTACAACCAATAGACATTACCCTTAGAATATTTTCTCTAATATCTGCTTTGAATCATTTTTCGTCTTCCATACGAATACCAGGGAAGCTTTGCCACTAAGATTCCCTGCATTTGGCACATAGACATTAGCAGATTGTAGCTTCTCATCAGAGTAGCAACAGCTGAGTATTAAACATTCTTTCTTTGCTGCCAATGTTGCAAAGCTGGAAAAGACGTTGGCTACTTCATTGATAACAGTAATAACCTTGAGAAAGTCAGCTCTTTAAAAGAGTGGCTTTGAAATCTTTACATTTTTTATGAAGCTATAATTTGAGTAAAGCCAAGTTTCTTTTGAGTTGAACTCAACTTCTTGGATGTCCACACAGTTTTCTTGGCAACATTATGGAACAGTTTTGTCACTGACTTCTGCAGTATTTTCAACTTCTCAGTCTAGTTTATAGCCATGATGTTTCCTGGAAATCTTCCCTCTGACTCTGAAATTCTTAGCCTTTTGCTATCAAAAAGAATTCCCCAGCTTTGTAGCATATGAGAATCATTTGTTGAGGATGGAGGAAAGGGCAATTCTATTACTTCCCATTACTTTGTCATCCTTAAGTATTAATCTGTGGTCATGTAACTTTTTTTTAAAAAAAGAGTACTACTTGGCCATGGAAGTAAATCTTTTTTTTAACTAGATAGCCATTGTTTTTCTCCAAGATCTTCCAAACAAGGGGCAAAAAAATTTCAACATATAAAATATATATTTTTTTCTTGCAGGAGTCGCTGTATTCATTAGCCCTCAAATGCCTTATTAGTCTCTCTACAATCATTCTGCTTGGTCTAATTATTGTATACCATGCAAGGGAAATTCAGGTATGTACTACTTATGAATCGGTATTTTTCAAGGACATGTCATAGAAACTCAGCAGACTGCATTAATGCATTTTTTCACTGCCTTGGATATGGTGTCTTGTTACTTATAAGACCTGAATATAGAAAACTGCATATTCTATCTGTATTTATCTATCTTTACAGTTAATTTATTAATGTAAAAGTGAGGGACATAATGGCTGCTATTTTGCAATAAGTGTATATTTGTTAATCAATTTTGGATCACATGACTATGAAGTCTCCAGTCACCTCTAAATATATTAAACCTTAGTGATGCTGTGTTAAATGTCTCATGTACAAAGGCTGAGTAGCTTTAAAAATGAAAACATTATAAAAACATAGAGCAGCAGACTCTAAATTCTGTCCATAAATGTTACAAGATTTGCAATAGCCACAGTAGTCTTAGAATTCAAACTACATTTTGGTTAAAAGATAGCTGATTAGATCTGATTTTGAAGAAAGATTTTCATTTGATTCATTTCAAGATTAAAAGGCATAGCTCTTTTTCCTTTTAAAGTAATTTTAGCCATGGTCATTATCTCCATAAAGGAGGAACATCATAAAAAGTACCTTGTGTAACCTATACAACATTGAACAAAATGATACCATTTTTTCCATGAACAGAAAATGTTTTCATTGGTGGAAGTAAATATTAGTATGTAGTTAGCACTCACTGTAAGTCTGCTAAAATATGCCCAAACTGAGCCATACATTACGAAGTTGTCCAAGGTCATGTGATCTGATAGACTTAATATGGATTAAAGCATTAATATAAAATGCATTTACAGATTACAAATTCATTAACCATCACACCTCTCTGATTAACTAATAATGTAGGAAAAAGCTAACAGTTTTTAATAATTTTGAGATATTCCTTACATGTCCCAAAAGAAATTAGTGTTAAAGGCTTCTCTATTATTGCCTACTAAACTTAATGGATAATAACTTGTAGTCTTACTCAAGAGAGTCTTTACTTTTATATATTTGAAGAGATATTAAATAAACTATGACAACTTTTTCTTCATCAATATTGGAATGTTACCACTTCTACATTTTTATTTGCAAGTGGGAAGTAATATAAATAAACATTTTGAAGTTTTGTAAACAGTCTTTTTAATATAGTTTCTTATGTAGTTGTTACTATTATTAGCAGTTATTATTGCTATACATCTTTGGGCCATACTAAACTTTAAAATATGCACTTTCAGCTTCATTATTTTTCAACACATGTTTTAGCTAGTCAGTTCTTGTGAAATCTCCACAGTTTCTAATTACTGAATTTCACTATTCACAGAAATATTAATAACAAAATTGATGTACCCAAACAAAGCTGAATGTAGCAATTTTCCAAAAGAAAATTTACCCTCCTTAATAAGACAAATCTCATGGACAGATGAGGTTTCTGCTTTGATTCACCTAAGTGCTGTGATGGATGATGTTATTTTATTTTAAATCATGTTTCGTTTTTCTCTAATGATTTAAATGCCCTTGAAGCAAGTTTAATTCACATGATAAAATTTAGTAAAAGCAGGAAAAGCTTTTTCTAATTGTACTACAAGGAATCATTCAGTTATGAAGTTAGTAACATACATTGTATTCAGAAACGTCAGAGTACCAATTAATGATTGTCTAGGGAGTGATACTTAATTCAGAGGTTATTTTAGTTTCAAAAAGTGTCATATGAAATTATTCAATACAAACTGTTTCCTTGAGCTTTCCAGTAACATGGTCCCTAGAGACCTTAGTGATATAAAGTTCAAACACTTGCATAGTATTATTTTTTTAAAGAATGGCCTGAGGCATTTTAAAATGAACCATAAAAGTGTTTGTATAGCATATAAAACTACACCCCAAACAATCTCATCTAGATTTCATGACTATATTTTGGAAATGCAATGAACAGTTTCATTATCTCTGTCTCTTATAATAATGATGATCTTCATTCTTTTTACTGTTATGTGGAGCAATAGAAAGATTTTTTTAAACATACACACACACACTGCACCATAAAACAAGAGTTACTATATTAAACTTTACTAAAAAAACAAATGATACTGCATGAATTTAAATGAATACCAACAGGTTAAAACTGGGTTAAAAACCCAGTTTGTATTGAAAGAACATACCCAGCAATCTACCTTGTTCAGCACTATGGACAGCTCTAAGTATCAGAAAGGAGTTTTTTGCACCAATTTAAGGCATTTAAGTACCTGTTGTGTGTATCTATATCTATATGTAAGTTATTCACAGTGTCCTGGAAAGCCTGAACTTACATTTATGCTGAATGGTTTTATTTCTTATTGGTATATTGGTATATAGCATAGCATGTATTTATAATTAACTGCTGTTTTAGTGTTCTGAATGTGAGACATTCGTTAGTGAATAGAAAGAAAAATGTATTTCACCTTTCTATAGAAAGTATTCAAAGGTGAGAGCATCATATCTGGAAACTTTTTTTGAGTTTAAAGGATTTCTTAAGCTAATAACAATAGTATACAGTACATGCTCTAAATCTAACCTTTCTGTTCCAAAAAAACCAGGAATACAATTTTTTTATTTGGCAAAGGAATTTTTTTTTTCTAAATAACATTTCCTTCAAAATGTTGATCAAAACTTTAAAGTTTTTGGAATAACAAATAATCACAGTTATAATGTCTTATCTGTTGGTTTTTGAAAAATATATATAATAATTCGCTTCTTGGTGAAGAATAATGACCTTTTTATTTTAACGGTGGCATGATAATACTGCCAACAGAGGGGGATATATGTTTTCCTTCTGTAAGAATTTTAAACTACACAGAAAATCTTAACAACTTATTGGTACTTTTTAAAAAAAATGAAATTATAAAAATCCAAGTATAAAATTAGTATCAGCTTGGTTTTAAACATTGAAGCTGATATGCATTCAACATAAAACATGGAAATAAGCCATATACATATATACAATAATAGTTCCTTACATAGTTGCAGTCTAGTCCTGTCATCAGTGTCCATAAACAACTAGAAATTGACAGAAATATGTTATATGTATTATCCAGAAATATTGATTGAATCCCTTGTCCTATTAAGTACATTCTTCAATTTAATATGATATTAGAAATCATTGCAATGCTAAATTATTGGGTTTAACAACATTTGAGTCTGTTTTCATTTTGGAATATAAGTTTGATACTTCTGAAACTAAGGAACAGTTATTTCAGAGATCAAATTTGTCTCTTTAATATGGGCTAGTTCAGCGCCCCACAACCTTTTGGGTACCAGAGACCGTAGAGAGAGGTTTTCCTGCGGACTGGAGGGGACATGCTTTCATGTGCTCCTGCATCCAGTGGATGGAGCTTCAGTTATCTGCATGGCCCTTCTGGGGACCACTGTTTTCTGGCATTCTGGGGACCGGTGCTAATCCATAAACTGGAGGTTGGGGACCCCTGGGCTAGTTGATACATGAATAGTCTCAAAATTTGTAATTTATGATGCTACTAATAATTAAAATAAAATAATTTATCTTTTATATATTTAGCCAGTGGCCAAAATATATATTTATTCTAAGAAGATGGTATTATAGATGGTGTTCTATATTAAGTAAATTAAATTTAAATTGAATTTACATTAAATCTAAAGACATATAGATGATATCTAATAGATGATCTGGATGGAAGAATGCACTTTTCTCATCCTCTCTTCAACTGTTTACATAGTTATTTATATTGTTTAGGACTGCCTGCAGTAATTGGGTATTTGGGCCACTGTTCAAGGGACAAGTCGGAGTCGCTCTTCCCAATTCCATTTTTTGTTTTGGACTTAGATTTATCTTATCTGACTATTGCCTTGGTTGTGGTTCTTCCTCCTTTTTGTCAAGGTTATTCTCAGAGACCATTGCATCTAACAGTTTAAGTATAGTATCATCAGCTACTCTGGCTGGACTAGAGATGCCATGGAGCTCCTTTCCTAGTGTCTTGAGAGTATAAGGATATAGATGAGAATAATAATACTGGAGATAAATTTAGTGTTAGTGTTGATATATTGGTGTTCTCCTATTCATCAATTACTTTTTGATGGAAAAACAACTTCTCTTAAAAAACTGGTCTTGACTTGGGCCCTTTCTGGATTTGGGGTTCTTACTAAACTAGCCATGGAGTCTGTGATAGGGAGGTCTGCCCAACTGACTGATGTGCTAGTTATAACCTTACTTGGAATGAGAAGATCAGGCTACAATGACTCATGTCCTTGTCATTAAGAAAAAATATTACTGTGGTGCACTCTACATGGTACGGCCTTTAAAGACTACTTGGAAACCACAAGATTGCAGTGCTCTAAGTTTTGACTGGCACTCACTATCGGCAGCATAAAACACTTGTTCTTCAAATCTTACACTGGCTCCCTATTGGTTTCTGGGTAGAATTTAAAGTGCTGGTTCTAACCTATAAAAGCCCTGCATAGCTTGAAGCAACAACATTCTGTGTCAAGATCATCGCAAGGCAAACTAATTTTCTGTTGTAATGATGACCTTCTGGAATAATTTCCCCATTGATATCAGGCTTGCCTTTTCTCAGAACATTCAGGAAACAACTAAAGATGGAGCTCTGCCATATGGCATTTTCCAAGGGAATGACATCCTGAGATTCTTTTGCTATTGTTTTAAAACATTTTAAATGTTTTATTTTTAAATCTACCATGGGTGTTTAATGCTGCATTTGTTTGACATCTATTCCATAAATATTTTATTGTTCCTTATTGCAGATGTTTATATTTTGCTATAAACCATCATGAGTCAGTTTTTTGAAGTTGGTGATAGGAAACAAACAAACAAACAAGAAAGACATGGACACCCTTCTTGCAACATATTTTATTCTGGATAATATAATTATCAAGGCACAAAGGATGTTTAATGTAATTATTAATAATCTTAAACAGGAATTATTTTTCATATGAAGCCATCTATAGTGCATACTTTTATTAATTGGTTTATTCTAAATTAGGAAAAT